CCCTAGCACCCCTCAGGGTGTGTGTTCTGTTAAGATACAGCCTGTTGTGCCTTAAAATGGCTTCTACTGTACTGCCATAAAATGGCTTCTACCGTACAGTGCAGTGGAGTTGCCATGGTAATGACTTCACAATACTCCACGAGGGGGCTCCCTCTGGTAAGGGGGAAAAATCCAACATTAGAAATTACGTTTGGTCCGAACATTTCCCCCCTATATATAAATACCCGGGCAACGTCGGATTATTGATTAGTATATACTGAAGAAAAAAAAATCCAATAATCTGAGGAGAGAACCAGCGTAGAACTTCAAGGAAAGAACCAACCTAGAACTAAGAAGAAATTTCCTGACAGTGAGAACAATCAATCAGTGGAACATCTTGCCTTCAGAAGTTGTAGGTGCTCTAATACTGGAGACTTTTGAAGAGATTGGATAACTATTTGTCTGAAATGCTTCCCGCCTGAGCTGGAGGTTGGACTAGAAGACCTCCAAAGTGCCTTCCATTCATCTGATCCCATTTTGAGTTCTAAAGCCATTATGAAAATCCCTCAAGTAATCTGGTTGTTGAAAACTGTATTAGGATCTGGCCACTCTGCACCAGAAATGGCTCTGAGGAATGCAGAGTGACTTAGAGTAGGTCACACTTAACCTAATTCCCCCCAAAATTGGGAGTATGATGTGTAAAATCTGGAGCTTCTGAAGGAAACATAAATTATAAAGCAGAAGATCTCATCCCTGGGCCGCCTGTCTCCTTGTTTCTAGTTTTATAAGTAGTTTTTTTCAAAATTGAACTGTTTTTTTAAATATATTTATCTCTTTATTCTTTGTGAGCCATTCAGAGTGGCCCTATTTGTGAGGAGTATAAATTTAACAAAATAAATAAACGCACCCAATAAACCAGTTCCCCTTCACTGGGGAAGTTGAATTAGCTAAAGATAACAATTGGTTTGGCTGCACGTTTTCAAAGGTGGCATTTTGTAGTTTTTGTGATCGATTCCAATGGCAACTTTTCAGTAACCAAGGGATTTTCAATCTCTCTCAAAACCAGATTTTATCTGTACTTTATTCAGGGATTAGATGATTTAGACCAAGGGTAGTCAACCTTTTTATACCTACCGCCCACTTTTGTATCTCTGTTAGTAGTAAAAATTTCTAACCGCCCACCG